GAAAACTTCTCTGCGCCATAAACAAATCACAGTTGTCATTGTGCATTACATATCTAAAGGCATGGTTCCTGTGTACGAAGTCGAGAAGAAGAGCTTCTGAGAGCTCAAAGTCCTTGACCCGACGTACTTTATGCCCAGTCGCAAGCGCTTCAACCAAGTGGAGTTGCCTCGTTTATATGACTCTTGCCGGGCCAAACTAGAGAAGGTTTGCAGCGTGGCGCATTATGCCTTGACAACAGACCTGTGGACGAGCTGGGTGACGCTGCCCTATATGAGTGCAACCATCCATTTCATCAGTTAAGACTGGACCCTCTGCGCTCGCTGTATACAGATTGCCTACTTTCAAGATGACCACACAGGAGCCATTTTAGCCCAAGGTATGTCACTTTAGCAGTAAATTTATATAACTCTGCTATTGATGCATATTTATTCTATTCATAATATTTATATATAAATAAAAGCATTTATCTATATAGGTCTGAGAGATACACTGGAGTCAGTGGGACTTCAAGAATGCCACCTAGTCTGTGTCACCACAGATAATGCCACTAACAACATCGCTGCAATAGAACTGAATGAATGGGAACAGCTACAGTGCTTTGGTCACAGTCTCCAGCTAGCTAGTGGTAAGTGTAATAAGTGTAATTTAGTGCGAGCATGAGTGCATCACTGAGGGAGCATGTCTGTTTTTTCTGTGTATTATGTTATCCATTTACTTTTTGAGCTGTTGTCTTTCTCAAATAATTACACCATGTAACAAGTGGTGACAATAACTATTCTTAATTAAACTGACAACATAGTATTAGTGAAATGGGACTTTTTTGGTTTTCCTGTTTTATGTTTGATTAGTCTAAAAACAACACATTAATATTGAACAGAGTTTTGCCCAGATAATGGTGTAATTCTGGCTCAGGGTGTCGTAATGGATGACGGGAGTTGCAAATTTAATTTGATTTTACAAAATAAATCCATAAATATCATACAATTCACATTTATGTTATTAATTAACATACATTTTTCTTTTATCTAAACAGAAAATGCTTTGAAAGCTGTCACACCAACATCTGCAAAACAGGCTGTGGAACGTGCAGTTGGGGTCTGTAAAAAGGTTGTGAGTACATTCTCAAACTCGTGGAAGAGAAAACGTGACTTGGCCAAGGCTCAAGCAGTGCTGGGTTTGCCTGCTCATCAGCTCATCACTGAAACCCCCACATGATAGGGTTCACAGTACCAGATGATCAAAAGGTCCCTAGAGCAGGAGAAAGTTCTGTCACACGTCCTTCTAGTAGACAAGAATGTGCGACAAGGAAACTGGACATTGCACACTGATCCCTTCTGATTATGTTTGCATTCTAGATTAACTTCCTGATTAATGTAACCTATTTCCTTTGCTATCTGACTTAGGCAAGAAATCTTGTGCTGATCTGGCAGGATATGATGGTACTAGAGTCCATGAACAAGGCACTGAGTACTCTGTTCGAGTTTATTGATGCTTTATCTGGGAGAAGTACGTCAACGTGTCTTTTTTGAAACCGGTAATGCACCTCTTCAACAATGAAATGCACAGCCAGAAAGATGGGGACACAGCACTCTCAAAAACAATCAAAGAGGGTATCCAGAAGTACCTCAATGAAAAGTATGACTGTATCACCAACAACCTTCTAGACATGGTGACATTTGTTGACCCATGGTTTGAGACAGCCTACATGAAGGAAGAGAGGTTGGAGTTCAAAAAGATGAGAGCTGCAGCAGAGCTGGTGGACAGGGCAATGCCGGAACCCGAAAATGCCGAAACAGCCACCTCCATTTCACCTTCAGCTGCTGCAGCTTATCCAGACCTTCCTCATTCAAAAAAGAAAGCAAAGAAGAGTTTGGAGAGCTACTTCAAAAAGGCATGAGCTGCAGGCCAAGGCACCAGCTGCTCTCAGCCATCCATTGAACTGGAGCTCTCCATGTGTCTACAGACGCCTGGGCCTAATTCAGAGGCTGATCCTCTGGGATGGTAGAAACGGCATGAGTTAAACTTCCCATTAGTGGTTAGGCTCGCTAAGAAGTACTTATGCCTTCCTGCTACAAGTTCTTCCTCTGAACGGACCTTCAGTGTGAGTGGGAACATTGTCACATGTAAGAGGTTATGTCTTAAGCCAAATACAGTTAACCAACTTGTCTTCCTCATACTCAACCTATATATTTGACAGAAACAACATTTCTACGTTAACATTGTATCCTTTATGTTTGCACTTTTTGGATGGCTGATGCCTTAAACAGTTTATAGTTATATTCAATCCTGGTTTATTGAATTTTGATCATTTATATTGCGATTATGGTATGCAAACTTAGCACTACAGGGTTATAGATTTCAGAAATTTGAAAAACTGGGCATTTCTCAATATGCGTTCTTGAGCGTTCTCGTGTGCTTGTGTACTCGTGACACGTCATCAGCCTCAGCCCGAGTACCGTTCCAATTTTCGAGAACGCCAGATCGAGAATGCACCAAATCCCCGGATGTTGTTCTCGCCCCGCCCTCTTTATCGAGCATGCATCAGAGCAGACTTGTGCGTTGTTCAGACTGACCGCTTCCCTAGAATGCCCCGCGGCCGCAGCTTGATTCGAGACAGCGCTCACAGTGGTAAGATAAATATTCCCTTTTCTGCTGCTATTGTTCTTCAAAAGTACGTTTTGAAATCGTTTGAGGCGATAACATTATACATTGAAGCCTCCCTGTGTGGCCTGTTTACAGAGTTAGTGCGAAATAAAAAAAAAAGGCAGACGTTGAGCGGACCAGAGTGACCAGCAGACCTCCGAGGGTAACCGCAGCCAGGGCTAATGTTACCCCGTCTGTAGTGCACTTCTCTCGGTCTAGTTATGTGTGAACTACCGCTCGTTCTGATGGCGGTTTTTTGCGGTTCGGTAATTTTTTTTTATGTTTTTTAAGCTTTAGAAATTAAAAATATTGTTTTCAAAATGTTTTGTGTAGGGAATAAATAGTTTTGACTGTTAAAGAAATGCTAAAGAACGTTGCATGTGATGACGTCACGAGTACGCTTCTGTTCCAATACACATACGTGCTTGCGTGCTCGCGTTCTCGTCAAGTCCGATCTTCCTGCGTTCTCGCCAAGAACGGACTTCACGAGAACGCGAGTACGTACTCGCGTTCTTGTGAATTGAGAAACGCCTACTGTTTATTTTTGTAACTTTTGTTCAAAATGTGTGCTTTTCTACTCAGAAAAGTAAGAAACTAAACATTAGTGCACTTTGATTTATTTATTTTGGTAATTTAATTTAAATACCTGTAGGATTTTGACAAAACTTTGAAGGGTACTGTAGCGCTACCTTCGCCTCATCTTATGCATATATATTGCTGCGCTACAATTTATTGTTCTAATTTGTGACAGTTCTATAAATGTCACTTCAAAATAAAGTTGAAAAAGTAAGCAAGTATATATTTTTTGTCTTTTTTTTTCAGAGATTTGCTGAGAACTTACTTAATTTTGGCATACTTCGATATATATCGTTATTGTGATATAAAATAGTCCATATCGTGATATATGATTTTTTCCATATCGCCCAGCACTACCTGACTGTAGGTCTGTATTTTTTTTAATGCTCGACAAGTAGATATGGGCTTTGTCCAAATGTCTGCTCTAACCACTAAATGGGGACCTATATAGGGCCCACGCCATTTACATGAGGGTCCGAATGTCTAGTGGATGAAAAAGTAGTGGATTCGAAATATCCCACAATGCACCTTGAAAAGTAGTGATCATCCATGGTCGCTAGACGAGCAGATATACCTCGGAACAAAGATGGGGCAGGCAGCGTGCGGGGAGGCGGACTTACGGGGAGCAAAAAGTAGTGATCATCTGTTCGAATGGTCAGTTAACGAAATTCACTATAAAGTCTACTATATAGTCTCTGCTATATATAGTATTTAGGGATTTAGGGGTTAGGGAGGACGTTCAGACACAGCCACTGTCTGGAAGCACCAAATCGGGTGGTAAAGGAACTTGAAACACTGATGCCTGATGTGCAAAAATGCTGACATACGTTGGATAAGTTATGGGTACGATTTGTATAAGTTATGAGCCCACTATATCCCGCTGGCAAGCGGTAAGTACGTCGAGAAATTTTGAGCATGCTCAGAATTTCCCGACATATGCCAGCCTATGCTCATATCTGGACCATAAGTTTCAGGTAAGTTATCTGAGCGTGAAAATTTGTGTGATGGATCCTCCCTGCGTTCACGGCCACGACCAATAAACGTCCCAGCAGACAAGACGCTGAATCTGCTGGGACTGCAAACCCTCCTTCTTACTTCTTCTTTTTCCTTTATATTTATTGTATTTTTATTTTTTTGGCGGCCGTTTAACAGTAGCTAGCTTAATACTGCGATCGAAGAAATCTGTTTATGCAGGGGTGTGTTGCTGCTTCCCTCAGGACACTGGTTGTTGTTCAACATTAGTTATGGACTTGTTATGAATACTTGCCTATGTCAGCGTTTCAGAAGATTCTGAGATTCAAGCATACGCTGGCTAAATTGTCAAGGTGTGACAGGGGCTTTAGCAACAACGTTTTTGTTGATATACAGTTAGAAATGTTTATAAGTTTGCTATGGTTCGGAAAATTAGTCATTTGAAAGAGTGAGAGAGTTCTGTAATAGCATGCTTTAAAAGATTAGAAACCAACTAATCTGAGCCGTCTACATTTTGTTTTGGTAAGTTATGTACTATCCATACGTATTTTGTTAAAAAAATTCCAGTGTATACAATAGTCGACTGCCTGGAAAAACACAAGCTTGACTTTGTATTTGAAAAGTAACCCAAAAGACTTCCTGTTTTTGTATTTGGCAGCTAAATATGCATCCCTGTTATAATCCAGACTTATTTCCCACCTTGATGTCATGCTGCAGATTTTCCTACATCATTTACTTGGTAAACTATAATAAATTATCTTCATCCTTCATGGTTTATTAAGCAATTTTGTTGTTGTTGTTGTTTCAGAGAAAGATCAGATGTCCAGATTCCCAATGCCTTTGGATCCCTTCGAACCGTACGTAGCCTTTAAAATGCATCATATTCCAAAAGCACACGTATTTTTAACCAGTAATGTTGAACTGTAAATGTTGCTTTTATTCTAGCTGCTCAGTTCTTTTTGAGTTTGTTGATTTTTTTTTTTTTTTTTTTTTTGACAGATTTTTTATTTATTTAAAGAAAGTGGTTCTAATAAAGTGTCAGCTGTCAGGTATCTTTTTTGGTAAAAAAAAACAAAGATTAACCAGAAAGATGCTGAATAGACAGAAAGTGTGTCTCCTTTTTGCTTAACTATCAGCTGCTTTTTTAAATAAGCTTCTGCGACATGGATCATTGTCAGAGCTTTTTTAGTATCTCTTTTTGGGATATCAGCGCTGCACGGGTGGGTCAGAAATTATCCAGAGGGCCAGCTATTCACAGCTGATAAGGCTAACTGTTGTTTTAGGTATGTGACTGCTGACAACCATTACCGGCAGTTATCACTCCACAACTTCAGCAGAAAGGGGCAGGATGTGGTGGGTTGTAATTAGATAAAGGTCATCAACTTACGGGATAAGGACAAAGTGTTTGTCAAAGAACAGATCCTGAATTGTTTCTGCATCCTGATAAAGGTGTATCACTGCCCTCTATCTGTAAAGACATAAAATGTCTAGCTTCATAAGCTAACATTTGCAACAGCAATGACCGAAGAACTAATGAGCTCAAATTGTTTTTCGGGCATTTTCATTAAGTTTGTTGAAACGGTTACCTCTCTTGGAACAGCATCAAAATATGGTACTGCAGAACCATGCTGAAAACACATCAGAAGACTTGTAGCCAACTACTGAGTTCCTTGGAAAAAAGATATTCCTGTAGACTGAGCTTATTGTTGATATAACTACTATATCAACTTAGCGTCAATTAGCTATAGTGTTTTCTGATGGCTCAACTTTATAGCTCCTAACCTTCAGTTTGATACCTTTGTCTACCTTTGTCAGGCTTTTCTCTTCTACTATGAGGGAAAAAAACGTATGTATAGTGCAGAAAATCCTCCCTTGTTGCCACATTGAGTCCACCATTTTGTTCTACTTTCCCATTTGTATCCTTTCTGATATGTCACTTCCAGAACAGGGCCTGACATGTCCTGTACCATGTTTTAGCTTGGGGGAATTCCCACGTTTGTAGATGCATTCATTGTGTTTTTAAAAGCATAGTTTTCACACGGTTTAATTTAATTAATGAAACACAATTGGTTTCAAACATTCAAAAACAATCCACTGGACTTTGTTGCCAAGTTTGAAGATGTTTCGCTTCCCATCCAGGAAAGCCTTTTCAATTCAGAATGTCGGAAATTGCGGTGAGTTGGTGGCTTTATAGAGTGGACCAAAAACAAAGCCTTGTTTTGGCTTAGAAAACAAGCAAATTGAACCGGACCAGCGGGTCCACCTCTTAGGAAGGGGCCATTGTTTGGGTTCTCTGTTAGCCTGCAATACTCGATACCTGTCTATGTCTCTGAAAGGTGGTTGTTAGAGGGAATTGTTGGCCTGGCTGAACAGGTGAGGTGTTCTCTTTGCATGTAAGGGGGTGGGGGTTGGCTGTAAATTATTGACCTTTTTTTGTATGTTTTTACACACCTTTAAATCTTAAGCATAGCTTAAGTCCTGTTTTCTCTATCCAGTTCTTAAAATAAATGTTTTTCTTTGTAGCATATTTTTATCTAGCGCTACATATTTCTAAGTAAAAAGAATCTGTAAAAATTCCTTTCAATATCCTCAGATCTAATTTTATAAACACCTTTTATATTACAATATGCATTATACAATAAAAATATACCTTTCAGTATCATCAAACTAGCTTTTCTAAGACCTATTTCTCTTGGTACTGATATCCTATTCACAAAGGGGCATTGAATCTTAAGTTCTTTCCCTATTACCTTTATTTCAATTCTTACATTTTAGCTTACCTCTATGAATCATTAGAATATACTGTAAGGATGGAAGATTGGATGATTCTATCAACCAATCGACGATAGACTTAGCCCTTTGATCATTTTTTTAAAGAGATTTTTTGTTTTTGTTTGTCTTTTTTTGACCTATGGGTTTAGATGCAGCCCACAACAAAAAAGTAAACCTCATGCTGTTGCAAGTAAACAGCAAAAGAAAAAATTCTCTCTTCTAGTGAAGCTGTATACTTTCCATAAAAAACAATCTCATTCCAAGTTTTCAGTCTGTCGGTTTTGTGCATTCAGATAAACGAATGAAAAATATTTTTTTTTAAACAGACTTTTTGCTTTAAGATCACATCCGCTGATCACCTACCTTTTTTCATGTTTAATGAAAAGATGTTGAATCTTATCTATAATGCATCAAACAGATGCCTAAATATATGCATCTTCTACGCTGTTAACAAGTGACTCTACAAGCACTGCTGCAACAAGATTGGTTTCTTCAAACCGTATGGAGTGAGTGGAATAGCGGAGCTACACCTTTACTAGTTGGATCATGACTAGACATTCAAGCCCTTATTGGCAACAGTCATGCTCACATGCATTTGATGGTGCTAATACCACAGTTCAGTGATGGAGGTGAAACCCCTACATTTTAGACCCAAATACAAAGACCAGTCTTCTCTAAAATATAATTGATGATTGTAGGAACCCAGACACATACATTCTTTTGTTTATTCCCACAAAAACAAACCTTGAGCAGGAGTAGAGAGGGTCCACAGATGGCTTTAAGTTCCCATTGGAACTTTGCCTATCATTTAGCTGATATCCTCTTCACACTTCAAGAATACAATAACATGGGCTGTATTTTCTGTATTTATTCCAGCTTTTTTTTTATTGATGCTTACCATCATAGTCTAAGCTTTCTTTGCCAGACATTTTTTCTAGGAAAGTCCGAGCACAACTACTTGGAAACTCTCTCTGGTCCCAGATGTCTCTCATGGTTTGAATGAGGTTGAACATCCCTCACAATGGCATGGGATGAGAGTGAAAAGCTTTATGAAACTGATGTCTGAATCTCATCAAACCTCTCCAATACTATTAAAATTTCATTGGTTTATTTAATTAACCTATCCCATCTATTTACCATATCCTGGTAAAAACTCATGAAAGAATCCCGCTTTGAGTGCCAGGTAAAGCACCCCTTTGAGCTTCAACATGGATGCTTCGAACCTGTGAAAGATGATTATTATCAGATCCACTTTCATTATATAAAATATATATATATACGCCAAAGTTTATTGTATAATAGTCCAAATGATTGTCCAAAGTTTATTCCAGCTCTTGAGTGTCTCCTGACACATAGCAGCCTTCAAGCAAAGGATCTTTGTTCGAAAGCAATGGCTGAGACACTTTTACATGAACTGAGATCAGTTTTGGGGATCCAGGGACCTTAGACCTTAAGGGACTGGACTGTTTTGCCTTGATTAAATTCCATTGGGAATTGAAAATATCACATATTACATGATCATGTATATGTGTGATTGATTCTTTAAGGTAGCTGTTTTATTGCATATATAACATATAAAGCTGATTTTAGTTTTGTTAAAAAATGTTCCAAGAACTTTTGCCATCTATATTAATGAGTTTTATTTGAACTTACATTAGTGGTATTTACAATTGATTAGATGAGACATGTTGCATCAATCCAATTTCCCTATTTTCCCGTGATTTAGTGCAATTTTTCTTAATTTCAGTCATACTGTGTTTTGCCGTCACAAAAAAGGTGGTGGAGCAGTGGTTAGCATGTAGACCAATGTATGGAAGCCTTATTCCTCGACGCGGTCAACCCAGATTCAAATCCGACCTGTGGTCCTTTGCTGCATGTCTCTCCGCCTCTATCATACCTACTTTCCGTGTCAGCTGACTGTCGAAAAAACAAGCCACTAATGCCACAAAAACTTTAAAAAAAATCAACGACAAAAAAAGACGAGGCCAATTTAAAAGTTGGTAAATTTGTTTAATGAAACACCATAAATTGTTGAATCTAAACATTATTCCTTTAACCATAAAAATGTTTTTCTACTTGTTGTACTATAAACTGTTTACAGAAAAAAAGAGTTAAAACATAAAACCTGTCCTCAATTAACATCTTTTTTTTTTTTAAGATTCGTTCTAATGGTTTCACCGTTATGCATCTGTGAGTTTCCAATCTACTCTCTCTAAGCAACTGCATGATCAATGTTCAATGTCCCAAAAAAAAATTAAGACCATTCTCATTTAACCTTTAGTTATTTTTTTCTGCAGACAGAGTGCGTGGACTGAAGGTATTGAAAATACTGGGGCTGTTGCTGGATGTTAAAATCTCATTGCGGAGCAGTCACTGCAGCAGATGTCCACTTAGGGCAATCTTGAAAGATTTTGTTTTATCTAAACATTTTTTTTTTTATATCTATATAATCACCATGAAGAGCAAATTTAATTCATTAGTAGATTCTTGGTCAGGGACATTGCTGACACTACACTGCTGATATGCAAGTCAACTCTTAGATCAGATATCAGGCATGCATAAAGGACATTATCTGTAGTACTAACTGATCAAGATGTCTTGCTTCACATTACCACAAATCACTAATCATAAAAAAACATTATAGAGTACAAAACCATAAAAAAGATTATCGTATTAAAAGTCAATGTTAAAAAGTAAAAAAACTGCTCAAACTCTTAACCTATCCTCGCTAAACAACTTTTTTTATTATTTTTTTACTGGTGTACTGGATCATTAGAGACCATTTCTTATCCTGAATCCTAAAAAAAAAAATATCACTATGGGTCGCTGCCACCCTCCTTCTCCCATCTTTTACTCCATGTCTTTCTCTGAGTTTTTTTCATGTTCCTTAATTTATTCATCAATAGGGAGGGTCTTTGTTGTTAAACAATTGCAAAAACTCTTAACCTGTCCTCCTTTGTCAACATCTTTTTTTATTCATTTTAATGGTCTGTATTTGTTTCACCAATACGTAAGGGCTTTTGTTGCACATTTTTTTTAAAGTTAATTATTTTCTTTATTCAAACTATGTAAATATATGCCTATG